CTCGTTCATGCATCAACCTTATATAAACTGTCACAACTCCACATTTTCGCGTCGCCAAAACGCTACAGGTTGGTCGTACAGTCGCCGGCAGACAACATTTTCAGTAAAGCGACGAAACGCGCACCTTATGTTGCCGATCACCGACAGCCGTCATTCCTTACTTCCTTCATTCATTCATCCACTCATTTGTTCGTCGTGGCGAGAAAGGTGAGTCATGTCGACTATCGAATGCGTCGCTCGAACTCAATGCTTTGAGAAATGCCAGAGAAACCATACGCATCAGTGAACAATAACTAACAAGGGTTGCAATAAGATGACCCGGGAAATGCAGTACGTTTTCAGAGAACCTCACTGCTATGGCAAAGAAGCACTCCGACTGGCTCCGCAGGGTGTGTTTGGAGTCATTAGAGTGCATGACAACATAGAAACACTGCAGTAATATTGACGGGTCGTAATGACGAAATTAGGGAGATCTGACATTTGCGGTTGTAAGCAGTGCGGTTTTCTTGCACTTTAAGAATGCGTAACAACGCTACAATAGCAGTAGAAATCTGGGGAGCAAGATTTGAAGCTTAACAATCGTTTTTTTTTTGTCCTGGTGAGAAGATCGTGAGCTCATTACAGAAGAAAGTTTCACATAATATATCCAGATAATTTATGTTTACTGCTTTGTTGTGCCTCATCAGCTTCAACCCAAGTCTAGGCGGCGCGAAACCCGCAAGCGCTATGACAACCTTTATCTCAAGTTCACATTAATTTTGTTTCCATGTGCCTACGGTTGCTTCCTGAAGCAAATAACATGAGGTTCTTCAGGCTTTTGGAACATCCACCTCTTGGCCCGCCAACGCGTATAAAAAACGCGATGGAGGGGTGGGTCGTCAACGCACGATTTTGGTGAAAGTTGAAAGCGATTGGACCCATGATGCTGCACGAAAGACTGGCTTTCAGACTAAGTTTGTTTTCCATGGGCCACCTACGTCCCCGGAAGTCAGCATATCACACCCGGTCCCCGTAAGGCATCCCGGCAGCCAGAGGTCGGGTTGGCCAGAGAATCCCGAAATAATGCGAACACAAATTAGCCACATAAGCTCTGTTGCTTAGTCAAGCAAGCCACAAAGACTTGAATTCCCTACTTGCATTTCTATGTTCTGTTACGGCGCTATTCTTAAATTATTCGGTTCTCAGCCTCATGTCCGTCATACCTGGCAGTTGCCCAAATGCCTGTGCCATCTTTGGAGAAACGGAGTTTGTGACCAAAGCATGTAACCAGCAACGCCAGCCGACTGTTAGCCAATTGCCTCCATCGTCCGTAGTCTCTCGGGGGCAATTCGTGCTGCGTCACCGTAAACGCAAATAATTAAGTAGTCATACTGTTTTTGACAATGAGTACGACGCGACCAATGAGGTGGCGAGTTGGCGTGACGTTTCCATAACGGTGCATCGTTGTATACGCCTAGGCGACTCTTCCTCAGGTGGCTCGTAATAGGCTACACAAGTCCACGCGCATAAAGCTATGAAAGAAGGATTTTAGGTCAAAAAAGGACATATTCGTGAACAGGGAACACCCATCCACAGACATCACGCATGTGAGGGAATCGTCATAAAAACGGCTGGGTCAGTTCAAGACCCATACAAAAGTATAACAATCCCGGTAAAGGTGTAATCGCCCAGCCGCTACTCTGACAATCTCGTGACTCAAGCATGAAAGCCCGCACGTTCCGTTTTTGTTTGCTTTTTTGTCCGCTACTGCCTTTTTTGGACGGATGGACCTTTGGTCTTGTTATGGCGCGGCATAGTAAACTTTCACTTAAAACCGAAAGTCTACAAACTTTACACACGCACTTCGTCTTCCCATTTGCGATGCAGCGTCTTTTGGTAATGACTTCGTATCATAATTTGAATTACATAGGTGATTTAACTGTCAATTGAATGGATATATTTACAACTGTCACTTAAATGATGTGATTATGGAGAGTAGTACAGCCTCTTGTTATCACAAGTGCGTGGATTGTACTTAAACGTCATTCTGTGTTTGGACGAATAACTTCATGCATTATGGAAATGTGGGTTGTGGGACACATGTAGATATAAGTTCTCACAATAAGAATATGCCACCTGCATCAGGAGATATCGATGTTGCGTATTTAGGAGCATTATGGCCTGTTCAGCGTGTTGCATGCTTGTTTGAAGTAAAATGTTTAGTTCCAAACCTAATTTCATCACTTTTTGGAGCTCTTAAGACTTGTGAACGCTGGCTGCTTACCTAGATCCGTCCCCAGCATTGTAATATTGTTTTTTGTTTTGGTAAACGATCGGGTTAATCAGATTTTTGATATGCCAAATGATGGTGATTGCGCATGTCTGGCTTTCCAACGTTTTTGCACCGCGCTGCCAGCAGATAATTCCGCGTTGTTGAATAATTTTAACACGCAGCCGGTGCTTAGTAGTACGCATGCACCATATGCTAGTCACCGATACACGTATGAGAAGCAGCTCATTTTTCGCCTGTCGTGACGCTTCCGCGCGTGGATTACGTACGTAACAGGCTAATGTGCCTTGCAATCTTTTGCGGAAAAAATGCGAATTTCTTACATGAATAATGCTTGCTACCATGTCAACGCAGGTGTATGTCGATAAAAGCCATGTTGCCACAACAAAGTCTTCGTTGGGGGATGTAAAGCTCTCGCAGAGAATCAGTGCCATCCGTACTTTTCTACGAAAAACACATTGTGAATGCCTTCTGTTAGAAACAGCACTAAGAATCATATCTATGCATGGCTGCTCAATCTATGGATGCAAGTTTTATAGCCCTGGATGTGTGTACATGGGTGCAGTTGTCATAATATTAACAGGTCCGCTTGAGGAAAGTAGTATGGTGTGAACTGTGCTTGTTCTAGTCCACAGTATGGTATATCACACGGTTGCAGTTATTTCAGGTCTCATCCTGGCATGATGTCCCACGTGCATGCCCGCAGCAATGCACGGCATGTGACTGCCAAAACTTCATGGTCGTGTCCTGTTATTATTTGACACTGGCGATTGCGAGGAGCAGGTTTGCAGTGCCCCAGCACGAGGCTTAAGACAGCCTAAATGGCCAGGTAAATTTTGACGAAACCCATCGCACCCACAGTCCAACATCTGAAATATACGCATCATATAAGTCCAACATTGAGCATGAATTTGTCTCGTCAAGAGGGTTCGATGATGCAAACAAAATTGAGCTCTTGTGAAACCAATCCCTACCCAAGTTCACTTAGATCCGAAGCAACAGCTTGGTCGCCAACTAAGCCGCGACGTTGACCTCAATCCATGGTGTGGTAACTCAACCCTAGGTGTGATTCCGTGACCTTGACCTTATGACCTCCAACCATGGTGCGGTGATCCTAGGTGCGGTTCCGCGACTTTCACCTTGAGCCGGATGCGAGAACGAATTCGCTTTGTTTGAGACTAAGAAATGTCATATGTATCAATAAATGTATCCAAGTAACTCCACAGACCGTCACTTGGCCCACCAGGGCTAGGCAGCATGTTAACTGGTGAAACGTCGTACGGTCTCGAGCTTCGACGGGAATTATACCACGCAACCTTCATTATGCCCTGTATGGGCATTCGACGGCAGAGCGTTTTCCACCCTATGAATTAGGGATGGAGTAAGAGTTCGAATTATTATCCGTGTCTGCTGTCTTAGAATGCACAGCGTTTTCGCCAGCCAATTATCTAGCCACTTTCAATTGTTCCTTAATTCCTGAGGAGGACTCAGTCCTCAAAGCCCTGATAATGATTATTCAGTCGCACCATCGACGGTCAGATAGCAATGTATTGAACACGTGTCTAGTCAGTTCCAACAAACATCGTCCACGTTTTCCGGGTGTCACGCAGACTGGTATGACAAGCAAAAGCTCGAAGAACACCACTCCTGTAAACATTGTTCAGCCGCTAAAGCAAACGCATTTACCGAAGATGAAGCCGTCGCTCTGATCGCAATGGCACACCCATTTGTTCACATGAAGGCGAATTGGCAAATCAAATGGTGTCCTCGTGCACTGATCTCATTCGCGCGGCGGGAAGCTAACGAAACAAATCAGCATGTCATGCTCCTGGCCACCGGCCTCGCTACTACAGACGTCTGGCGCCGTTACGCCCAGCGAAGATTGAACGGCCAACCGACGCGCTGGCAGCTGTCAGAGCCGTCGCCAGCGCCGTCTCCATTGGATTTTCTCGCCGTATCTCGCTGTCGGCGCCAAGATACTCGCGTCCTCCGGGCGAGTTGTTAACAATGCCGTCGGGATTACTGCACGATTGGGTGGGTTATCTTTCATTTAGAAGCTGGTGAGTGGCGGCTCCCAGAAGTTCACCCGCTGCGTGCAGGTATGTCACGACAAACTTTGCCGCTTGCGAACTACGATTACCTTTGATCTATACCCAGGCAGATAAACTAGCGCAGCTTAAGCGCATTAAGGCCGTGACGGGCATTTTGCTTCGGATGAACTTCCCGTGTTTTTCGTGGTGGTCCTCCATTCTATCCAGCCATCTCAAATCGTGTTCCGACATTTGGAAAAAAATGTTAAACTTGCTTGGAATGGCAATACTGTTAACAGCATTCGGATCTCCACGAAACCACTTGGATGCTTGTAAAGTGCGGCGGTAAACCTTTTTCATTCAGATGCAGTCTACCAAGCTTGATGCCACGTTTCTACAAATAAGACATCAAGTGTACCGGAAGGGTCAGATTCCCTGGACACCCGGCAGTCACGGGAACAACCGCCATCAATAAGGAAAGGCGGCGGGGTGTCTCGCCCACCGGAGTGAACGCACCCCGAGCGTCAGTGGCCCCGACAAACTGTTGAGCCACCGGAAATGACCTGCCATACCTCATACATCACCTCATTGCGGATGTGGACCTCGCGACCCGAACAGACTGGCACTCTGGGGGACCTCAGCCGTGTGCAACCACTGGACCGAAGCCGGCGCCGCCCCTGGGCCGGCTCACGGCGACCTACCTGCAACGAGGTGATGACCTTGCACGCGACGCTGCCGAAGAACCATGTCTGCGTGACGTCGACGGTGACAGTGGGCGGCAGGCAGAACAGCAGCACCAGGAAGTCGGCCACGGCCAGGTTGACGATGAAGATGTTCGTGACGGTGCGCATAGTGTGGTTACGCAGCACGGCGATGCAAACGAGCGCGTTGCCCATCAGGCCCACCACGAACACGACCAGGTGGCACACGATGAGCAGCCAGAGGTAGGGCGTGGGCCACAGATCCTTCATGATCTCCTCCAGCTTCTGGGCGTCGGAGAGCGTCGCGACTTCCGGCGGCGTCGTGGTCACGCCCACCCCCGCCGCAGAAGACGTCGTCCACGACTCCATTCTCTCTAGGGGCGTCGAACGGAAGCGCCAGTCCGTGGCTACGCCGCGCTTCAGTCGCTCCCGGCCGAGTCAGCCAGCATGAGACTGACCGGAAGCCGAGGGAGTGGAAGGCAAGGCGAGAGGCGACCACCGCCCGCTGCGATCCGGGGCGGCCGCGTCGTCCAGCCGACCCACGTCCGCCGGCGTGAGTCGAGAGTCCGGCGCGTGCTGGCCGCTCACGGGTCGGTGACGTGGTCACAGTGCACACGGACGGCCGCGGGACCGCCTCTGGGTGCCGGTTAGCACCACGAGGCTGACTGGGCCCCGCCGCCGCTCCGACCGGAGGTGTCGGCCCGGCGAGGGAGGAGGGGGCGGGGAGGCTGCTGACGCCAGGCGGGCCGAATCAGCGTCGGGGTCGCGCCGGCGGACCAGGCAGGGAGCGCGGCCGCGCCGGACTGGCTGCCAGCGCCGGCGACCGACACCGACTGCCGCCGCCACCGCCGCCGTCTCCGCCACGTGCGCCGGCCGAGACGGCCTCGCGCCCGCGCGCTGCTCGGCCGAAGCGGGCGCACGCGGGTGTGGACCAGCCTGACCCGACCCGCCGTCCACCCACCCCCGACTCCCGACCTCGACCCGCCGGTCCACTGACCCCGGGCCCGCCGACCCTCAGCTCCTCTCCTACGCCGACCCGCCGACCTAAGGGGTCTGGACCCGCGGACTCGGTTTGGACACGTCAGGTCAGGTCACAGCCGAACAGAGGGCGCCTGATCGGCAGAGCTCTGGGTCTCGAGGGACTGCGACGAAGGCCGTTTCCCACCGCCACTTGCTATTCTGCTGTACGTCAACCCGAGGTACCCACCGAATTGAGAAAGGCTCACTAGCCCCATCGACGGCCCAACGGGGGCCACGGCACACGTGTCACAGATGCCTTACGCTGCAAGACTTCGCCTCCCCTCAACCTGCGCCTGGTTGCAGCTATGACCTGTCCAGCGAAAACATCAACACGTCGACGGCATTGTTCGTGGCGAGCAGGGAGGCTGACGCAAACATCAACATCGAAATCCATCACCTCACGTGCATGGTCAGGCGTCGCCCTTGGCACCGTTCTATGCTGAAGAGCATGCTACACTTTCTGGTCATTTGTGGGGAAGTGATTAAAGAATACGCTCACTGAAAAGGTAAATTTCAACAAACTATTGGTGAAATAAAAATAAAAATAACTTCAGTTAGCAAACTCGTCACAATGACACATCGGTTTCAAATTTGCTGTCTTTTTTTTGCTTTTATGTTGCGATTGGCTGAACTCCATGCACAGGAGAATCGTTTCAACTGCTCTCTAATCCGATTTATTACTGGGGCGTTATCGTTCACGGGCTCAAGCCAACCGCTGAAATGAAACTTTTTTTGGCAGAAACAAGTTTGAAAATGTTATCGGCATTAATGGCGCACCTGGGTTATGGCTAGCCTGAGCAAATTTGTCATGGTAAAGTTCATGAGCGTGATGTTCAGGTTATGTTAACGGCACGCTCAGGAGGGAAAACTGTTATCAACAGCGCACTCCGGAGGGGACAAAGTATATCAAATATTGATTTAGAATGTCAACCATTCAGCGCAACCGACCGATCTAAAACATAAAATAACAAATTAATGTGTTCACGCAGCCTATTGTTGAATGCACCTGAGTTGTGGAGATGTGGATGGCGGATGCAGTTTTCAACAACTCGGGGGGTAAGCGTCACCTCCGTTGATGATCCTCAAGCTTCTCTGCTTACATATCCTAGATATGGCCATAAAGACTGTCAGAAATGAAAGTTTTGTTCAAAACCAGCTCTTTCGAAAAGTCAGCAGGGAACATAGGTAGGCTCAGAAGTGAATGAAAAGCTCATGATTTCTTTGTCATTTCAATAATAATAAGGGTACAGCTGACAGCCTGGCTGTAATCTCGTAGTTTTTGGAAGATTGCGAGAGCATATCGTCCAGTTGTGTTCACCAGGGGCGAATTTGTACGTTCACTTTCATCCTTACTATGAAGCTAACACTTGCTCGGGTGGGGGTCAAATTGACCCCTCACCCCGAAGGTTTATCGGGAGTGGTTTCCGGACGGCAGGGCGTAGGCACGCCAAATTTTGCATAGCTATGGACAATTGAGTAGTGGATTGTTTTGTCACAAAAATTTAAATGTACCGTTTAAGGTCGCTGACCTGTGACAGGTCAAAGTCAGCCCATGGTTTCAGGGAAGTCAGTTTCAAGGTATCGTTCGATCTGGTGTAACAGCGGAGTGTTAGTCGAAGCCACACATCCCTGAGATAGTTTCGTAGGCAACAAAGCAATTGAATGCACAAATTGCATCGGCCTAAGGTCAGGAATGAAGGCTAGACCAACGTCAAAACAAACTTGTTCCATTACCCTAGGGCTTGCTGTATGGGGTAGTTCCTGGTGCTCATTTTGAGTTTGTTGGTGACAGGAACCGCATCATGCATCTTCCATGGACTTCGTAAAGGCCAGAATAGATCGCTGGCACAAAATGTCTCGGGACAACATTTTGCTTTTAGAACCATACCGCCTTGCGTTATCTTTGTCGTTTATTCAAATGCAAAACTCAAAGCGGTCTTGCATGAATTGGTCGCTATCACCTTCAGAGGGTCAAACAAGTCCACTGGCCTTAAATGAGCATGTGAATTTTTGCTCAGAATAGTTATCTAGGTGCTGGGGGCACTTTGGAGACAAACTTGCGGTTTGACAAGGTTTGACCATGTTTGACCCGAAGATCATAACCTAGGAACCTCAAAGTTTGACCTAAGTGAGTTCACGTACAGACCAATACACCCTGCCAATTCGGTGTCCCTAGCTCTCTTAGTTCCTAAAATCTCAGATGGTCAAATTGACCCCCACCCGAGCGAAGGGTATCCAACCGGCCACCCGGGCGCGTGTTAAAACGCGTGGAATTGGATGCAGAGTGCGTTCTTAACTTTGTACTGGCACTAAACAGAACGACTGTAAATGCGATGTAAAATTGTATGAGCACACCTCATTCACCAGGTTTGCGGACACTTATAAAACCTATGAAAACCTATCAGGAACAACTTCAGCAAATGGTGACTGATTGCAGCGTGATGCTGAAGCTTGCCAGAGTTGCAAACACCCGAAAGACGAGAAGCCTGGTGCAGGCGGTCGGCATTCTGATTATGCATGATACTTTTTTGTACGGTTCTACGTAGGCGAACAACCGCATCATCAATAGCAAGAAGACATCAATTGTTCTGTTGTTGGCCTGGACATTCGATGAGAGCGTCATTTCTGTCATCTTCGTTGAGTGAAATTTTACCGGATCGCTGGCCCTATCTAAATCAATACAGCAAAATGCTGTTGATGCCGGCATTCGAGTTTGTATTCAATAGTAAAATATGAATTTTTGTCAAAATCAGATGAGCCATGCCATCTGGCTGCGAACGTGGTAGAACGACGCTGCCCCGCAAAGGTCGAGGCTAAAGATCCCTAAAAAGCTTTACCCATTAAGATAATCAGGTTTACTGCAATCAAATCGCATAGCAAATGCTCACTTTTCGACGCACATTGTGCCAAACACGTGTCAAAGTTTAATCAAGACTGAAATGAGATATTTGATGCTTTTTCGTTTTCTGTGTGCTGATAGAAAAACAGGCAGTTCCACGTAGTTTATAAACAACCAGGTGTCAATCCTGGGGAGGTTAAAAGACCGGTTTCGAGCAATATAACAGCTCCTTACGTCTTTGGTCTTTCTAAGATCCATAAAGCCAACGTTTCGCTGATACACATAATCAATTGTGCAGGCTCCGCCGCAGAAAAAGAAGCATATCATTGTTTGTAGATCATCCCTCCTATTGTACAGAAACCTACTCAAAACGCCGGCATTCCTTCAACGTTTGCCGTGGCCGCTAGAGGACGGGGCGTGTGACAAACGACATCTTGGCATCACCACTCTTTTTGCTAAGGCTCCTATGGTTCTATGATTCACCTGTGGACAGCCCTGGCGTCCATGATGACGTCACTGGTGCCGAGGCTCAAATGCGGCGCGGCCGCTAGCCATGGGGCGTAACGCTGCGGGGCAGCCAGAACATCGGAAATCTTCGTACAGATAATGAACGAGCTGTTTGGGAGAGGTGTATATGACCACCTAGCCAATTACGTAGAATTTAATGGTGGGTGTGATGGCATTTTTGGAAGCCTGTCCTCCAGCCATTAAAATGCGATGGCACGGGCCACATGAAGTGAAAATGAACACACGAGAATTATGCAAAGTAGAACGGTCGGAACATCGGGCTCTCTTCGTATCGATAGTGAACAAACTGTTGAGGGTAGGTGCATGTAACCACGGAGCCATATGCGTACAATTTTATGGGAAGTATAGTAATGTGCTAGTCGTGAGTTGATATAGGTAGACATTATAATGCAATCAGCGTGAAAGGCGCAGACGTGCACGCGCAAAATGTTGGAGGTAGCCTAAACATTGGGCTACCTACTTACCAGTATCAAACAGATTATTACTAATATACGCACATATGCAGAACCAGTCAGGTAAGGTTAATGGAGAACATGAGCATTTGCCGGCATAACTTATCAGCGATATTTCTTCTTCGGCTTATGCTCATTAGCAGCATTCATGCAAAGTGATACATACCATAATCCACAGTCATAATAGTCAATACCCCATCCCATAGGGTAATCCTCACCAAAATCACAAACAGAGTCAACACACAGAGGTTATTGGGCGAAATGAGACTGGAGGCGCCCACTTCATGGTGCTGATACATTATCGATGTTGCACGATTGACGGGCCCGCGGCAACAATAGTTTTAAGTGATTTTTTCGTACTGAGAAACGTAAGGAACGTACGATAAAAACGTAAGATCCTCAGACTGTCTATCGAAAGTAGAAAGCGTTTGAGACGAGAGGCAGGT